CAACAGATGGTAGTAGAGTAAAAGTTCACAGAGTAGTTTGATATGAAAATAAATTTACAGCATCACTGGTTCAATTGCTTTCCACGTCTCAGTCTATACGTTCCACTCATATAAGTATCATAGATTTTCAAAGAGCCTTTGATGGTTGAGATGCAGAGGTGCGAAATGTCGAAGGAGGTGAAAAACAGTCTGCGAAGGTATTTTGCAGGGAGTTGACTGATCATCCCTCGATAAGAGATTACAACGGGAATTTGCAAGATTGTTTGAATTGTATGTCCCATTGCAGACAGGAACCGTTGGCATGCAGCAACCATCGTTGGAGTACCGCATTTCGGCATCTTCGACGCATGGCTGATATAAATGAAGGCGTCGCTGCAGATTGTTACGTCGACAATGTATCCGTGACAGCGTCACTACACCAGCTACCGGTGTGACTTGGCACAGTATGCGAGTAGGTTGTGTCGTTATTGTCCTTGGACCCTATGTTCTTATTCTTGTTTTCAGTTTGGTCGCTAGCATAGTTTTGAATATTATTCACCTTAAAGCGTGAATTATTCTTGGGGGTCTGAATATGTTGGGGATTCGTCGCAAAATGTGATGTATCTCGGCATGTTTTGTTACCGAATTCCATTTGCGTTGTCACGTTTTGGCAAGAAGAGGATGTTGTCAGCTTACAAGAGGGATTGATTTCCAACTTATGGCTGTCCGTGCACATATCTAGATCCACCGTAGAGGAGGGAGAGATTACTTTAGGAGTAATACTATAGCTCACAAGTCTTTCGTTAGGTTTCGTTTTCTGTGGAGCTATTTTTGTGAGATTTAAGAGAGGGAGGCTATGATTTCTACCGTGTTGGCAGTGTGTTTATCTATTTTAGTTGCTTGCGGTGTCTTACCATTCGGTTTATTAAGTTGATGTCAGAGAGGACAACAACCATGTAATTCCACTATAAATCAAATTCATGTAATGTAAATAATACTTATCCATGCCTGTGCAATTGGTGTGTCCTACATAGATAGGAAATATATATATTATTTATATATTGAACTTGCTTATCACATTCGTGTTGATTTTGTCAATTCATGGGGAGGGATGTATTGTAACCAGGTCAGATTCTGTTTTAGCCCACCATTTCTATTCAGTTCAGACAATTTGGATTTCACTTGATATGAAGTGCTTCTGATGATATTAGACGTTCTTTGTGATTTCTGAAGTTTTTCTGGATGACGATTTCAATATTGTCAAAATCAATTTTGTGGCCTGATTCTATAGCGTTAAATAGCGAAACGTCAGTAAAAACAATATCGTTTTGTTTCTTATTCATTGGGAAATACAAAAACCTTTATTAGAATTATTAGAATGAATGTCATATACCCAGTTCTCAAATTTTTTCAAACCGTTAAAAGTGAACTTGGTTTGGACACATTCAACTTAATTATTCTTTCAAGTTTAGAAACCCTCTAAATCATCGAGTGGGGGGAAAGAGATCGGAAATTATATATGAATATATTGTTTATTGTTGTCACAGAAAATCCTCAACCCTCAGTCACACTACAGCGGTGCAGCACGGACGATGATAGCCAGTGTCATCCAAGTGCTCCGATTGAACTTGAAGGAAAAAGCACGAACAGGGCTGTTCCTGGGGAATCGGCCAATTGTTCGTAGGATAACTCCTCAACCGGCAGCCCATATCAAGTCAACCACCCCCCAATACGAGGACATGGTGAGACTGACTACCAGTTGCCTGTACAGTAATGTGAGAGGGCTAAGAGGCAAAATAACTGAACTTAGACAACTACAATCACAGCTGAATTCCAAAATCATAATACTGACAGAAACCTGGCTAACCCCTACGGTGGCAGGCAGCGAAGTCAGTATAAATGATATGGTCCTAATCAGGCGAGATAAGGACCTGAAAGAAGGAGGTGGAGTTGCCATATACGTCGACTAACAGCTCAGATGTGTACACGCAATGGACCCTCCTCTCACTGAGTTCCCTGAATCCATATGGTGCCATTTCACCGTTGGGTACTGCAAATATCTAGTGGGCAGCATTTATCAATCACCATCATGTGGAGCAGACCACAACCAGGTACTGCTAAATACAATTTCAGCGACACAAGACATGGGTTATGATCAAACTGTCACAACTGGCGAGTTCAACGCCCCATCTCTTAACTTGATGTCGGGATACGCCTATGATAGATTCGATCGAAATCTGCTGCATACCATCAGGAAGGCTGGATTCACTGAAAATGTCAGGATGGATACCAGATGAGGCCCAGATGGGAAGTCTTCTAGACTGGATTATGTGCTCACTAGTGACCAGCTACTAGTGGAAAACGTTCAGATCACGACTCCCATAGGTAGTAGTGACCACGCGGTCATAGTATTCGACATAGTCCTCCGCGGGCGCTTACAGTGGGACAATACACAGCCCTATCTGTGTAATAACAAAGCCAATTACACCAAAATGCGAAGACTTTTGTCTGAAGCAAATTGGCCTAAAAAATGGACAGAGCTAACAGTAGAAGAACACTGGGTGTGGTAAAGGAGAACATTCACCAGGCGGTCTCAGACACTGTTCCTTTAGTCACACCAAAACCTAGGAAGCAACGTTCGTGGCTGAAAAAAGGGGACACAACGCCTTCTGCAGGCGAAGCGAAAAGCCTGGTTTGCGTGGCGACTATCGAAGAGTCAACCCGGACATGAAGTGTACCTTGAACTCAGGAATCGATAGAAGGACATTTCAGAGAAACCTCGCCAATAAGCTTCTCGTGAACCCCAAAAGCCTATACAGGTTTATGTCTGAAAGAAAACCGACCAACCAGGGAGCATGCAATCTAGTAGGTTCTGATGGGAAATCTCTTACTAGTCGTGAAATGGAAGAGACATACAATCTAGCCTTCCACAGGCAACTAAACAGTAACGAGGATTTTACCCCCACAAAACATCAGGATTAAAATGCAAAACCAACACGCGGAAACCTGCTGGGTACATTTCAAATTACACCGGCTATGGTACTCGTAAAATTGGAAAAGTTGGCTTCGAGAAAGTTTTCAGGTTGTGATGACGTCAGACCATGCGTCCTGAAGCAGTGTTCAGGGAGTCTCTGCCAACCCCTAAATGATTTGTTTCAACACTCCTTTGATGTAGGGAAACCTCCATGCGAATGGAAACGAGCCATCCTATCCCATATCTTCAAGAGTGGTGACCGGCAGAATGCGACCAGTTACAGACCAGTTGCGCCACTTCCAGTGATATCGAGGATTTTGGAAATTCTCACTGACGAACACATGAGAAAATGCTTCGACTGGACTAACCAACTCCATGAAGCACAGCACGGTTTCAGGAGTAGGAGATCGCGTGTGACGAATCTTCTACTAGCTTGGAACAATTGGACACTATCCTGGGACGTAGAAGTACCAGTTCATGTGATCTTTCTTGACTTTGCGAAAGCATTCGACACAGTTCACCATGGTCTGCTCCTTCACAAAATAAGCAAGGAGGGTGTTTCTGGAGCACTTCTCTCATGGCTGAAAGATCACTTAGGCAAGAGAGAATTCCGCACCAAAGTCAACCGCATCCGATCATTCTGGCTCACCTCGGCATAAGGGGTTCCTCAGGGTTCTATCTTAGGGCCGATGATGGTTTTGATTTTTATCAACGACCTGCCCTTTCAACTGAACTGCTCTGCGCTTCTTTACGCTGACAACGTAAAGATTTGGAGAGCAATAAACTCATCGAAGGATTCAGACAGATTGCAGGCTGACCTGCAAACTCTGGGAGACTGGGCTCTGGCTAACAGAATGCCTTTCAACCTAAAGAAGTGCAAAGTAGTGCAACTTCATTCCGGCTGGTCACAGGGTGTAAATTACACCCTTGGTGGCCAGAACTTGAGTAGTGTGCCATCAGAACGCTACCCAAGGTCTTATTTTAACAGAAAAGCTAGACACCAGTTTAAATACACGAGGGACGTCGCCAAAGCCCACGCAACTTTGCACTTTATGCACAGGCAGCTGGGAGCTCTTACTCACGAACTATTCTTAAGGTTGTATAAGACATACGTGAGGCCTCACCTTGAGGTGCATAATATCATTGCTCCTCCGCTACTCAAAAGGGATGCTAACATCCTAGAAAGTGTCCAGAAACGAGTGAGAAAATAAGCGATCGGTCTTCGCAACAAATCATACGAGGAAAGGCTGAAGAAATTAAGTCTTTTCACACTTAGTTACCGTAGTCACAGGGGAGACCTCACTACTGTCTACAAGATCTTAAATGACCAGGCCCACCCAAATAAAAGCATCCTGCCATTAAGTGATTATAGGCTTCCACGAGGCAACCCGCTAATGATAGCACACCAGAGACCAAAGACTCGAGTGCGTTCACATTTCTTTTCGCCTCGAGTTTGCTGTCTCTAGAACGCTTTACCGGCGGCCGTGACTACAGCGCCATCTGTGGAGACTTTTAAGCGGAAGCTGGACAATCATGCAGAAATTCAAGGTTGTGTCTCAATGGCTTATACTCTTGAAATTTAAAACCACACTGTCAATGGATAAGCATACAAACTAAATCCCTACGACCCGTCCTGTCTTCTCCCACTGTACCGACTACTCTATCATTCCTTAGGTCACCTTTATTATTTCACCTTTATTTTTCACTTATCTCAACCTATATTACCTACACTACAACATATTATTATTTCTATTCTGCTTTTATGACTACACCGAGTGACCAACGGCAGTTAGGTCAAACTCCATTCACAACAGCAACACAGTCCTACAAACCACATTTTGACCAATCCCCGCACCACTCCTCTTGGAGTCTACCAGAAATAAAGCAGTCGAATGGCGGGACTTACTATGCAGGAGATCACCACATATCTGGAACCTCTACCTTACAATCAAGAGGCGAGCTCAAAGAAATCACTGGTTTATACTAGCTCGTAATCAGGATATTGGATATTGGACATTAGAGAGCGTGTATTGAATTTTGAGTCACTATGAGTAGCTTGGATTTAAAACCAAAATACGAAATAGGTTAGATGCTTACTGTTTTCTTATATAGAATCACGTGCATTAAGGTGAAAAATTACTTTGTTTCCATGGGCCTCTTATGTATGAGGCAAAATGTGTAGACGTCAAAGTGAAAGAAGATGGTGTAATGTATTTTGTGCATTACCAAGGTTGAAATAAAAAGTAATAATATTTCAGTATTAATTTACGTTTGATATAGCTGGGGTGAATGGGTGACAGAGAAACGTATGTTCAAGTATAATGAAGAGGGTTTGAGAAAACAAAAAGAATTGGAGCGACAAATGTAACTTGTGTAAAGCAATGTTTCTGATCATGATGCTTCTTGTAATTATCAGAAAATCGGGCAAGGTTAAAGTTTTGAGAAAGTCCGACTTGAAGTCACAGTCATTGCCACCTCCAAAGTCCTGGAGGACGTCGAACGGACATTGAAGCCTGGTCAAGTGAAACAAGGTGAGACATTACCCGGTTATATACTAAGTGGCGCTATAGAGGAAGATGCTCCTAAGACCAAGGATATAAAGACCAACAAAGAAACCAACGGGAAAACTGATACTCGTGTGTAGAAAAGACTGAAGATATTAAACCAGCCATTAAGTGTTGTGAAGATTCATACACACCGTCTACTGAACCTGTCACAGTATCAAGTAGGAGAAGGAAAGGCCGAGTGTCATCAGTGCTGAAGTCTCTTGAAAATGCAAGTATTTCGTATTTATTGTGACACAATTTTTCATTCTATGCGGTTTAAATTTGTTTTTCGGAGATAGTTTGTACTTTGGTATTGTGATTCATTTTGTGAGATATAAAAAATTCCTCTTTGGAGGAGATAATAAAGTAGCAGCGTTGTGTCAAATGACAATTTTAAGTCGATATTTGTGTTATCTAGCTCATTCGAAACGTATTTTAACACTGTGACCACAAGTCCGTACAGAACTGCCAGATGTAAAGGGACAAAACAACTTAGGAATTTTTGTAAACCATGACGCAAAAACAACCGAAAATTATAGTCGAGCCGCAGCTAACACTAGAATGCCATGAGTACTTTGAAGGGCTTTCAAACGATTAGACGAGTCTTTGTTCTAAGTACTCTATGCAACGTATGTCAGCAGGCCTCGACTGGAATACTGCATACAAGTGGTGATTTCATGCTTCAAAAAGGGGACACATATCCTAGAAAGAGTACAGAGGGTAGGAACTAAATAAGTTGTACCTCAAACCTTCCTTATGACATGAGGATGGAGCATTTAAATCTCTTTCCATTATCATACCGAAGGAGGAGGAGGAGAGGTGACTTAATTTTGGCATACCGTACATTAAAGGATTATTTAGGAAATCGCAATCTTCACCACAAAAAGGTGCTCAGACCTAGGTCGAATAGAAATACATCTACAATTTAATTTAGATCCTCTCACAGAATGGTCAACAATTGCAACTCCTTACCTACTTGATACTGTGACAGGTTGAGTAGACGGTGTGTATGAATCTTCACAACACTTAATGGTTGGTTTAATATCTTCAGTCTCTTTCACATCTGCAGGCACACGAGCATCAGTTTTCCGGTTGGTTTCTTCGTTGGTCTTTATATCCTTGGTCTTAGGAGCATCTTCCTCTATAGCGCCACTTAGTATATAACCGGGTAATGTCTCACCTTGTTTCACTTGACCAGGCTTCAATGTCCGTTCGACGTCCTCCAGGACTTTGGAGGTGGCAATGACTGTGACTTCAAGTCGGACTTTCTCAAAACTTTAACCTTGCCCGATTTTCTGATAATTACAAGAAGCATCATGATCAGAAACATTGCTTTACACAAGTTACATTTGTCGCTCTAATTCTTTTTGTTTTCTCAAACCCTCTTCATTATACTTGAACATACGTTTCTCTGTCACCCATTCACCCCAGTTATATCAAAATGTAAATTAATACTGAAATATTATTACTTTATTTTTCCAAAAATTCTATAATACCATACTTGGCACGTATTTTATGTGGTGAAAGTAGTGTTACGCAAGAATTGACTAGCCTTTTGTCATCTTCTAAATAAACAATCTCCTCCTTCCATCCTTATATACCTTCAAGTTTTATTTTTATCATTTCTGTTATATTTATGGTCCTGTTGTTTCCTTGTTTTTACTTTCATAACCGCAAACACCAGCTTATCTCTATGACTGCTGTAATCTTTGTTTTTCCCCTCCTCATATCATGTAAAGAGAACATTATATTCAATATTTTTCTAACCATGCAAGGATTTGTATACCGCATCGACAATACTGTGTGAAACAAGCCCACAGCAATTTCCCCTTGTATTATTATCATTACCTTATCTGCTATCATTATTATTATTATTATTTCCATTTTATATGCTGCATGTTTTTTTTTGACATTACCCCTATTGCAAATGTGGAAAATTTTCTGTGTGATTAATTTTTATTAATAATTTGAGGAAACAGATGCAATATTGTGATTGATGCTGAAAATTCCATTCTGTATCACAAGTACTGTTTTTGTAATAAAGTAAATCATTATTATTATTATTAGTAGTAGTATGAGATGTGTTAAGACTGTTACTACTGTGAATTGAGTTGATTCTTCCACCAGTTGGTCCTTCGGTATCGTCGTCAATAGAAAAGAGATAATAATAATAATAGATATAATTAGTGAAGGTATTAAGACTAACAGACAGAAAAAGAAATAAAGAAAACATGACAACAGTCAGTCAACCGGTATATATATTTACCAGTAATAATGATAATAGTAATAATAGGTGTAGTTAAGGCTGTCAGGAGAGTAAGACTGGAGAGAATGTAAAGAAGTAAAACGACCAGTTTAATTGTCTACCTTTGAATGGTGTGTGCGATTTTAAGGGGATAGACCATTTGGATACAGTCCTTGTGTCGCTGCATGGTTGTCCAGCCTTCGCTTAAAGGCGTCCACAGACGGTGCCATAGCTACATCTGCCGGTAGGGAATTCCAGGGACGGCAAACCCGCAGGGAAAAGAAGTGGGAGTGCACCCGACTCCTTACCCTTTGGTGAGCTAGCCTTCTGGGATTTCAACGAGGAAGCCTATACCTACTCAATGGCAGAACACTTTTGCTTAGGTGATTTTGGTCATTTGATATCTTGTAGGCAGTAATTAAATCCCCCCTAAGACAACGGTAGCTAAGTGTGAATAGGCCTAATTTCTTTAGCCTTTCATCATGTGGTTTATTTCGGAGACCAGCCACTCCTTTTGTTGCCCGTCTTTGGACTCTTTCCAAGAGGTTGGCATCTCTTCTAAGCAGTGGAGAGGTGCAATAATATTATGCACTTCAAGGTGCGGTCTGACGCTTGTGTCCATTTTTCCCGTTAGAACTAGACCTAAGTCACGTTCCTATGTTGTGCAGGACAAGCTTTCATTGCACAGGGTGTAACTTGCATTCTGCAGTCTACAAGTGCGTAATTTCACTACTTTGCAGTTTTCCAGGTTGAAAGTCATGCCACTGGCCACTACTGCCCAGTCTTCCAGAAGCTTTAGATCTGCCTGCAGTCTATTTGAGTCCTCCGGACACACTTTATCGCCCTTCATATCTTTACGTCGTCAACGTATAGAAGAGTCGGGCAGCTTAGGCAGCATGGTAGATCATTGATAAAAATCAAAGCCATCAGTGGTCCTAGGATAGAACCCTGCGACACTCCTGATGAGCAGCTGTGCCAAGATGATCGAACTCGATTGACCTTGGTGCCAAATTGCCTTTCAGCTAGGTAGTCCTTTAACCATGACAGAAATGGCTTACCTATACCTGCCTGACTTATTTTGTGTAGGAGAAGGTCATGGTGAAAATATTGGGTATTTCTATGAAATAAGACACAACAAACAGTCGACTTGTGATTTGGGGATATTGTCGGGATCATATTCTGGGTACAGGGATGCATAAAAAAAACGATTGAGTTAAGCGCATACTAGGGATCATCTTTTAACGTCAGACTAATTTAACTTGTCTGATAACTTAGCCATAGTGGGAGATGTTCTCGAGCGAGCGAGTGATCAGGAAAAATCAAGTTCCTAGAGCAACGGCGACCAATATAACTCGCTCCACCAGCACAAGCGCAGTTGAATTGGTAGATACAATCTGAAGTGGCCAGCTAGTCTAGTCTAGGTACTTCATCTTTCAGTCGACTATGGCTAAGTGAAGGTGTAGAGAAAACGATTAACAGTTTGATATTGGATCATCTGGTGCAAACCAGTCGGCCGGCCACAAAGCCAGCCAGCGTGGGAGAATCCTTCTCTATCATCATCTACCGGGTGCTTAATAAATTCCCAAAATCATCATCGAAGCACCCACCGCATGCTCCCAACAACAGCAGAGGCTATCGAAATTCGCCTCAAACAACCAGTGAGTGCTCTGTGTTCAAAAGAAACAAGTCCAGCTAGCCTTTACTACTACCGTGGCTGGCCATCAGTAGAAACTATAAACTCATCAATTTGTAATATTATCTTTCCTAATTCGCCCTTCTGACATTCAGCTTATTTGATGTTGATGCTGTTCAGTTGTAATCTATCAATATTATTTAAACAGCAACATTAATGTTGTTGTTCATAACACTAATTCATTCATTCATTCACTATAATGGATGGATATAGAATTGTAGAGCCTGATGACGATGAAGAGGTTATCGAAAAGAGTATTTATTCTTTGTTCAGTATCTATCCATTCTTTTGAATAATTTTTTTAATCTTTAGGGGATACCAAAAAAGCAATGACTAAAGCATACCTGTGCGACATGGCTCAAAACCTGGTTGATGTTCTGTTCTTTTTTTTCTTATAATCTTCAAACCACTGAAAATCTCCTCAAATACCGTTTACAGTTTACAATTTATTTGGGATAGTAGGCTATATGCCTGTGTTAAGCCTTTCGATTTGTTGCACACAGGAGGTCCAATCTCGCCTTGAATGAATCAACGGATGACGCTGATACGACGTGTTCCGGTAGGGAGTTCCAATGGTTCACAATTCGATGCGAAAAACGGATCTCCAGACGCAGACGATTCGACCGTGGTTTTTGAACCTAGAGGTGATGTCCTCGCAATTGGTTGGTGCTAGAAGGAAGAAATAAATTAGATAAATTAGCTCCAAAACCATTTCTTAGGATACGGTATGCTAGTATTATGCTAGTATTAGGTCACCCCTAAGTCGTCTGTATGACAGTGGAAATAAACCCAGTCGACTTAACCTCTCCTCATATGAGAGGATTGAGAAACCCTTTATTAGCTTAGTTCCTACTTTTTGCACCCTTTCTAATAAGTCTATTTCGTATTTGAAACACGGGCTCGCTGCCTGGATCCCATATTCCAAATGAGGTCTGATATAAGTCGGATATAATATACGAAATATTTCAGCGTCAAAATTCGCAAAAGCCTTGCGTATGGCCCATAATATTCGAAAACCCTTAGTGGCTGCAGCTCTACAGTTTGTTGCTGTTTTCAAGTCATGCTGCACAACCACTCACAAGTCCTTGTACTCAGTGACCACTGGGAGAGCAATGCCATTCATTGAGTAATTGTGCACGTGACTATGAGATACATGCATAACTACACTCTTGCTTAAGTTAATCTCCAAGGCCCAGTGCTTACACCAATCACTTAACAAGTTTAAATCTTCCTGCAAAGCAGGTTGGTCACTGTCATCGTGTAAAGCCCTCCATATCTTGATGTCATCAGCAAACAGTAAGCAGGATGACTTAACTACCGATGGAATGTCATTAACATAAATCAAGAAAAGAAGTGGGCCTAGAATTGTACCCTGAGGAACGCCACTCTTAACCGATTCCCATGTTGATAAAACCCCGTTAACTCGTACTCTTTGTCTTCTGTCCTTTAGAAAGTCTTGAATCCAGTCGGCAACCACTTTATTGATTCCCAGACTACCTTACTTTACTAGAAGACCTGAGTGAGAAACCCTGTCAAACGCCTTGCTTAGGTTGATGAATATGGCATCCACCGGTATATTAGCATCAGCTGAACTTGCCCAACTTTCTCTGGCCAAAAGAAGGTTGGTAAAGCAAGAATGACCTGCCCTAAAACCATACTGTTCCACAGCGAAATCTTGATGAAAATTTGCCACAACCACTTTAAGCCTATATTTTCCTAATTTTTTCTTCCTTTCTTGGTATGAAGTGTGGAAACTTGAACACACTCACTCCTCTGGGCGTATTCATAACTGCAATGGTGATGACATGAATTGCACTGGTTAGGCCAGTGATCAATCAGTCTGTGACTGTTGATCTTAAATTAGGTCTACACTACCTGGTTAAATTTTTCTAGGTTCTGGATACTATTCAAATAAGTATAAAACTTGGGCACTGTGGTGGCAGAGTAGAGTATAACTACTCCATCATGGATAAGATTTTCTGTTTTGATAAACTGTCACACACACAGTGTGTGTGTAGTGTTATACAGTAAGTAATATTAAGTGATGCGACCACACGCTTCGAGCACAATTTATTATTGCCACTCATAATCATCA